GCTGTTTTTTCTACTTTTTCCCTCCTACACCCCCCTTGCCTCCTTAGTCTCCTGATTCTCCTGCTGGTACGGCCTTGAGCATTCCAGCACCTGTGATAAGGAGCCATTTGCCTCTAACTGTGCTTCATCCATTTTCCGTCATCCCCCCCCCCCCCCTTTTACAATGGCAGAACCACAGCATGTAAAAAGCATCTACTAACTACCCAACAGTAAAATCTACTATTAAATCTTGCGAGGATTCTGACATGTAGCATCTTTTGGCATATCATTCTTGTAGCCTGTCATTTTTAAATCCACTTTCAGATCAGTCTCAATCTTCTCAGGTAAAACTTGTTCCTCTTCCATAACATCTTTTAAATATAGTCTATCTATAGAGGCAGACACTCTTAAAATTAACTTCTGGGTCCATTGTTCAAAAATATCCTTCAATATGTCCAATGTTTAAATATTATGCTCCATTCTGTATTAATAAGTCAAAAGTAAGTGTTCTTCTCCTTTAATTGTAATCTTTACTTCCTTCTGGTTCCCTCTAGTGTCCAGCCTTCAAAGTCTCATCCTATCATGTTTTTTTTAAAGAGAATTCAAAACAAAAGTATTTTGCCACAGGAAGGATTCTTATAATTAATTCCAAAATGTTATTTCAAATCCATCTGGACCCTTAGCCTGTTTGTAACTTTTCAAAATCAAAGTTCTAATCACCCTTTTGATATTTATTCCAAAATAATTTTTTTTAAGTCCTTAAACTTGTATTTAAAACTGAAGGAAACTCACCCAGTGTTGTAAAATGTGTTGATCCGAAGGTTCCTAATAGTTGAAAAGCAGTTAGCAAGCAATATCCAAAAGTGATTAGAAAAGGAAGTATGTGCACCCAGTGTCCTTTTGAAGGCACTGAGCATGGTTTGAGAAGAAATATGGCTATACCCTCATCTCCCAGAACACTAAATCTGCCAGAGACTGCTGTCTTGCAGTCTCCTTGCAAGAAGCAACTGTATGGAGCACTTGTGAGGGATCTCAAGTCCTCTCCTTGTCCTGAGACGAATTACAAAGAGCTGGTCTACTCGCCGGCTCTTCATTCCACTGTGGTCATCGGCTCTGCTTTTAGTGGAGCTGTCTTCAGTTTTCCATTTCTTCCCTGAAAATCTCCTCAAACCTTAATTTTTTCATGGGAAGATTTATTTACTGCTGGGGTAAACAACTGTTTATCTGATTGCCTGACTCTTGTCTTTCAAGGGAAATCCTGTGATTTATTCTTAATTAGAGGAGGCCTTGCTACTCTACTTATTACAATGTGGTTTCTTTTCCTTTCATTTGAGGCTTGTGGTATAGCCTTCACTAACCCATGGAGATCAGGGGTGGAGCACGGGTGGGATTCAGTTGCCCTAGGAATGCTCTAAAAACATCACCAGTCCTCACAGCTTCATGGCAGTAAACCCTGAGAGCAGATGTTGGACCTTTTTTGAGCATCTCCCTGATGTGGCC